GAGATATGAAGCTCTACACAAATGAAATTTCGTTGATGAGATGTGACTAGATTTTTTTTTGAATTTAGTCGATGCATTAATAAGTCTTGGGTTTATAAACTTTTGGGTAATGATTGGGGAAAAACCCAAATAAGTAGTAAGAAATTAATATATTGGATCGATTTCGATTAGATTGGTTTTCATCAACCCATCCGAAAGCCGATCTAATCCAATTAAAATTTACGATTTTTTTTTGGTTTTTGATTTTTGATTTATTCGGTTATCAATTTTTCAGTTCGATTACCGCAATTTAAATCGATTTGGATTGATTGATCAACTGCAAAAAATGAAGAATTTAGGATCGGAGGGCTGTAATCCATACTGTTTCCCTCAAAACAAAAAGGAAGACAATGTGGGGCTCCGAAGCATCTCGAAAATAGTGATCAGGCTGCGTCATGTTTCGTCAACATTATTTATTTATGTGGACCCTTCATCATAGCAACGCAACGCAACAACAGCCCAGCGCCATAAGTAAACTATCTTGTTTCCGGAGTGCGCATCGTAACTCATCATAAATTATAAATAATTAAGGGTTTTATAATTCTAAAATTATATAAGAGTTGAAATCTTATGTTATAAAGATAAAATGTATGTGGATCTATGTATTAGAAAAAATTATGTACGGAATTTATGTCAGCTCAGAAATCGAAAGATGTATAGAAAGATTTCAATTCTCAATACAATCAAATAGAAAGAACCCCAAGGGCGCCATATTCTAGGAGATCAAATTATGTGATTGAATAAATTCTCCTCTATCTGTTCATATAGCCAAGAGAAATCATGAATCATAATAGAAGAGTTTGCCTCACCTATAAGTAAATATTTCATAGTAATCTTATTAGACCGTATATTTTTCTTGAAATATCGAGATAGTAAAATGAGAATTATAAAATTCAATAATTAAACCTACCATAAGCATTTTGCTCTAATAGCATGTAATTAGCATGGTAAGATAATCCCAGTCATGAATAATGAACAAGTCAAGTATGCATCAGGAAAGTTTTATTACCATATAAAGCATAGGTTCAAAAATTGTTTATCAGAAAGTATTAATTATAATAGCGAGAGAAGTAAATAATTCTTATATTCATAAATATTTAGAATATAATATTATATTTTGTCTTTCTTAAATTTTATGTTGGATTGAGTGCTTAACTGCTTACCATTTACTTAAAAGAATGTATATCACACTTTCTAGTTATCCTTATCTGTCCAAGTGTTATGATTTAATTTAACTTTGATTCACATCAATCACGTCTTGTCAAAACAGGATATATAATGTTGGATCAAATTAATTAATATACCAAAAATTATAATTATTAATCAGAATGCAATTCTGTCTATTTATCGTTCAAACATAAAAATTCGATCTAATTTTTATCCACATCGGGTCTTGCAATTTTGACGTTACCAACACTATGAAGGTAGTTTGATTAGGAGTGTTAACGCGGAGCCAAATTCACTTCTGATGGTAGAAGGTTAAATTTGTGTTTAAATATATCAACATGACTTAATTTGTTATCTGTTATGAATATAATTATTTGTACGTGATCTGACTTATTTACAAAAAATAAAAAATTGATTTAGTCTGTTTAAAAAAAAAGACAATAAAAATTTATTCAAACAAAATATATTATTCACAACACTAATAACTTTACAAAGATTCATAAATTCAATATATATTCAAAAAGTATAATATAAAACAAAATCATTCAAAGAGTTTGCTTAACCAATAAAATGTGATAAAAGGGGTTGAGGAGAGAGAGAGGACTATTAAAAATAGTATAAAAAATGTTTACCAAAAAAAAAAAATAGTATAAAAATATAAAATAAAAATTAATATACTAAGTCAGCCAGAGATTCTAAGGCTGAACTTTTGAATTAGAACGTGGGATCTTTTTATTAAATGAATTTTTATACCTGATTCATTTAACACCCCTAATTTTGATTACCTTATTTTGACGTTAAAAGAATTATTTTATTTTTAAAAAAATAATCATATCTTTAAACTAATTACTTACAAATCATGCTGTTAATTTGTGATAAAAGTAGATTGAAGATTCAATTATTTCTAACCAAAATTGAGTCAATACAGTTACTTGTCTTACATAACGGATGTATTGTTCAAGTTTCAATTACAAAAAATTCTTACGAGAAATAATTGAGTTTTAAAACTTGAGTTTTAAAATTATTAAAAAAAATTTTTACTTTAAAACGAGTTTTAAAGTGAAATAATTGTTTATCAATTTTTCTTTTTTAACTAATCAGTGTCTTCGCAACCCACCTTGAAAGAAAACAAAGTGACTGGATACTATGTTCAATGCTAACATATAGCGTTTATTTGGTTAACGAAAAATAAATAAATTGGATCCTGTAAGTGCATAATACGTTTGTAGCAGTTCTAAACAAATTACAAAAAGAACAAAAGAGAAGAAAGAAAAGCAACAAAGGAAAAGTAATATCCGTGCAGAATTACTAGAAGAAGAGACAACATAGATAAAAACAAATTGTAATGAAGGATAAAGCTTTAAATGTGCTGTAGAGACTGGAATAAAGGTAAGGATAATAAAAGAATAAAGTGATTTGGACGAATTATGAACAAATATACAATGAAAAGGGAAATCCTTTTCCTACTTCCCAGTAGAATATGTAAAGAAGTAAAGAACAGCTTTACAGAGCAACTGTGACGTACTGGTAACTTTTTCATGACAATTTTAAAAATGTTTTCTATATATATCCGTGTTTATTAGCATATTTTTCCTTTTGTTTAGTACATTAATTACATTTTTTTTTCCTTTATATTACGAGATATTTTTATTTTTTTAAAGTTTAAAAATAATTCTCATTCAAAATATCAAATTTGTCTTCAATAAAAATATGTTTTTATTGATTTGAATTCATGATATTATGAAGGTTCTTATAATATATAATTATTAAATTTAAACTTACTTTATCATTTAAACTACTAATTAAGAGTTACTAGTAGATTTTACTTACTCAAGGTTAATATTGACAAGATGAAACATCCTTCTTTCGGAGTCTGCTTCTATTAGTTTCTCTCTCACATGTGATAAATCTGAATGGAATTCAATTGCCGTTTGTATTCCAAAGGAACATCATTGACATGTTGAGTGAACTATTTATTGACAGAACATCACAAGCAACTGTGTCTGTATGCAGAAGAAAAACAACAGTTTGTTATATTACAAAGATTGAAGGGCCTCCGTATAAAAACATAAAAAAGACTCGATAATTAATTTCCGTCAACGGGAATGCTGGCGCGTGAAGGAAGAATACCACTAACGAGCTTTCTAAGTTCAGCCAAAGACCTAATTATCACCTCTGCTCGGCGTACTACGTTTAACTTAGCATCATATCATCACCAACTTTAATTATATCGCAAACTTTCCCGTTTCTCCTTCTCTTTTGTAAAAGACCCTTTGATTTTGGATTTTTAAGCTATTTATTAATTCGAAACATACATAAGTGATAATTTAATGACGAACCGAAGAACACAACTTAAAGTTAGGTCTTGAGAAGGCTTACAAACAATTAGAGAAAGCTATTAGAATTGTTATAGTGATGAGGGGTTTCAATAATCGCACGAGGTCACTATTATCATCAATATTTTACATTCAGTAACAAAGACGAGAGTACACATAGAATTATATATAAGCTAGGAAAAATACAGTTGCAAGGATAAAATGAATATAGAAATTGCACAAATCATGTTTTTTCACTTTATTTTTACGTAATATATTAAAAAAAGAGATATACTACAAAAAAATATATTCAATTGAACAAACAAAGTTTGTGAAATTTTTATGTGAGTATTGTCCGTATATCTAACAACATTCTATAGGATAGATGTAATAGCATATTCAAGAACATCCGATTGTAATTAAAACACAGTTATTAAAAGGGAAAATACTTGTTAAATTAAATTTTGAAGACAATTAGTTCATCAGTCTTCCATTTTATAATCAATAGAAAATTATATTTAGTGCGCCATAATGGATTTTGTAGTTTTTTTCTTACATATATACTCGTCTAACTTATTATAGTTTTTTTTTTTAAATTAGAAAATTCTAGTACGTAATGTGATAAGAGAGACTATAGGTTTACGTGGGGTATTGAAGATCGAACTTGTGTCTCCGTGGTCATGTTGTCTATGATACATACCATGATAAAAAATCATTATATATATAATCCAAAATTTTAAATTTATAAGTAACGAACTTTTAATAATTTTTTATTATATTTTCTTAACACTTGTTCACTCCGAGTATAGTTTCTAGACTAAATTAATTTTTTTTTTAAGTTGAATAGTTCTCTAACAAAATTGATTTCAATATCTATTATCACGTCTTGCTTTCGCCCCATTTTGTCTTTTTTTTTTTTGAAGGGTGGGGTTTTACATTGTCATCTTATTTAACTTAATTAGTCTAGTGGGTTTGCTCAATGAATGCAAATTCAGCTCAGAGCTATCGTAGGAAGGTGTGATAATTAATGAATGTAATTTTTTTGAAATGCTAGCTCCAATATTTCACATGCAAAAGAAGAAAAATTTAACTAATTAATGCCAATTCGTCCGATAGGAACTTCATTTCAGTTAAGTAAAGTGTTAAGTTTGAGATTTGTGAATAAAAAAAAATTAAATATTGCCAATATTAGCTTATTTAATTCCGAAAGAAGGAGTTTAGGTTAATTATTTTGATGGTTTGTATCTGTGAAATGTGAATTCCATTTGAGAAAGGTGTTGTCTCTCTCTCTCTCTCTCTCACACACACACACACATAAACACACAATATAATATATGGTTTGTTTTGTCCTGACCACTATCTGACACACTGCTGCCATCTACATGGCGTAAACTCGATGGCTGATAGTGCAAGCAAAGCAAGCACCCTACCTTTTCTTTTTGGTCTCTCATCTGAACCTCCCTCCTCTCCCAAAACGCCACTGTACATTCCTCTTTGTCTGTAAAAATCTGCTTTTTTTTTTTTTTTTTCCCTCGTCCTTTTTTTTTTGTCCCATACAGACCACCTCTATAAGCTCCTGTTTAGTGCTTCACTACCAAAACCCACCTCCTAACCTCTCTTCTCTTCTCTTCTCTTTCTTTCTCCCCTTCTATTCCTGCTCTCTCTTAGTGTTATTCCCTTCTAAGCCAAATCATCTTTTCCTTTCTTATAACAATCAAAGGTGTTTTGATGGTTGTATGGTGTTTTGAAATCCTCTTCATGTCAGTTTGATCATTTCCTCCTTCCTTTCTTTATACCTGTTTTCATTCATTATCTTCTCCCTTAAGAGAGAGCTACACACTGTTTCTCTCTCTCTCTCTCTCACACACACACTTTCTCTCTCGTTTTCAAGAGATAGAAAATGCCCAGAGTGGGAAAGCGTCTTGTTTGCTGAAAAAGTTGTCTTCTTGTTACCATATCCTCTATGCCCTATCAATATTTCTGAGTTTGTGCTTATTAGTACTGTCTCTTCTTAATTCACCTCAGGTCGGTTCTCTAAGCTGAAATGGTTCAAAACCATTTTCCCCTTCTTCCTTTTGATGGAAAGATACTATTAACCACCCAATAAATCTCCGGGCTAGCTACTTTGTCAAGATAACTCCTTTCAAAGTTAGATTTGGGCCGGGTATTCATCATCTATAACAAGTCTCTTTTGCTTCTTTTTCTTTTTCCTAAGTGAGGACTGTTAAGGGTTCAGAGTAAAATGATGTGAAGTTAATCAAAACGTTTTCATCGTCTTCAGATATTGAAAGACGGAGTTGATAAGGGTGAGTGGTAGCCTGGTAGGATATCGAGGAGTTTGACAGTTGGTGTTACAATCATTTTGGCAGTTGCGTGTATTTCTCGGTCTCTCGTGTCTTGTTGTTTCTCTTTTGGTCTCCAAAGAAGCATATAGAAATAGAATAATAACCCCTCCTCCTTAAGGGAGAAGAGAAGAAAGAGAAGGAAATGGAACTGTCGAGTCAAGAAGTAGAAATCCCAATCCCAATCCCAATAAACAGTAGCAGTACTAATTATGGTGGGGGACATGGTAATGGGCATGGAGAGGGACATGGGCACATGATTCATCATGACCTTCCTCCACACCAAAACCCTTCAAATGGCTCAGATCATGGACATGGACATGGACATGGACCCGGACCCTACAAGAAAGTGGTGAGATATAGAGAATGCCTAAAGAATCATGCAGCAGCCATGGGAGGGAATGCCACGGATGGTTGTGGTGAGTTCATGCCAAATGGAGAAGAAGGGACCATAGAAGCACTCAACTGCTCTGCCTGCCATTGTCACAGAAACTTCCACAGAAAAGAAGTAGAAGGTGAGCCATCTTCATATACCTCACAGTCACATTTCAGCAGGAAATTCATTTTAGGACATCATCATCACAAGAACATCCTCCCTCCTGAGGCACTCGTTGGCTACCCTACACCTAACATTCTACCATCAAGAAGTGTCCCACCCCACCAGATGATATTTCCCTACAACATTGGATCCCTTCCTTCTGAATCTGATGAATTACAAGAAGAGCATGGTGGTGGAACTGGAACTGGAACTGGAATAGTGGCTAGACCTACACAGCTAGTGAAGAAAAGGTTCAGGACAAAGTTCACACAGGAGCAGAAGGAGAAAATGCTCAACTTTGCTGACAAGGTCGGGTGGAAAATTCAGAAGCAAGAGGAATCCGTTGTGCAACAGTTCTGCCAAGAGATTGGGGTCAAACGAAGAGTGCTCAAGGTTTGGATGCATAACAATAAGCACAATCTGGCCAAAAAGAATCATCCCTCACCTATCTAATTAATTATAATTATTATAATTATAATTATTAACTCTCCTCTTTCTCTCTCTCTCTCTCCGTTTAATTATTAGGCGTCAGTGTTGACTTTCTTCCTCCTTATAGTATAGTATCTCTCTAATCATTTCCTGCTTTCTGAGTCTGTTTTGAGTCTTCTCTTTCTCTTTACATAAAAATAATATTCATCTAGTTACCCACAAATATATATATTATATATCGGTCTTTCTTGTGGTACGTAGCTTAGGAATTTGCATTTTTTATTTGCATTTGCATTGCGTGAAGTTTTAGTTTTTGAGTGATGTTTCTCTCCTCTAGCCATTAAGTGAGGACATGTGATGTGAGTCTCAAGTACAATATGTATTCACAGAATTGCATAGGGCTTTGTATGTTACTTTTCTCTTTCACCTTACAGAATCTTCTTCTGTTGTTCTTGCATCATCGGAGCTTCTGCCATCATTTTTTCCAACAGCAGATAAACTGTTTCCCATTAATTTCAAAACATTTTTCCTGCTTGAAAATTAAAATTAAAGAGTCGATTTTGAGCATTAATTATAGTCAATAAATTCAAAGAAAGAAAACGATCAAATATTCAGATAAAATATGAAACAAGTTTTGTGTTGGGATCGAACAAGTTAATAATCATTTAAAATTTTAAACATTTCCACCCTGACCAGTGTACATTTATTTATATATCAATCTTCTTCTTTTTTGGTACAATATATCAATGTTTTTAATTAACTTATACGTATGATAAACATATTGTTTGACCTTGTATGTAACAAACAAGCTTTTAACTAACCACGAGCTTTGTTTTAAATAGTAACAGAACTGAATTCTATGTGGATAGTCATAGTCTTCACCTGGTACTTACCAAAATTTCTTTACGATTAAGCTGAATCTATTATCTAAATAGAATTACATAGCGGAAATCTCATGATCTTTATCAAAAAAAAAAATTATTTAAAAAATACATTTTAAATCAAACAGTTTCCAACAATGATTCATTAAGCATGTTAAATGTCTCAAAAGACACATGAAATCTAATTATAATAAAAATGGCCACTTCAAAATATATAAAAAAAGGTACTTATTGACAGATACAAATATAACATCACTCATAAGGAAATTTTCATTGAATTGGAATAACTTATAAGACCACTTAATATTAATTAAAAAATTTCAAAAAAAAATTTAGGCATATATACGACTTTGGTAAAACTATAGCCAAGCAAGAAAGGAGCCACTATATTGAGGTACAGAAGACGAAGCAAGATTGCAAGAAATAACGTTCTCATAGTTAAGTTAGATCACAGGTAAGCCGGTCTTACTTCTAAAAAGAACACCGAATTTTAAACTTATATAATTGTGAGGAGAGTTTTCTTATTGTGACAGTGCTTGAAATATTCTCATAATATCATCCAAAAAAACATTTAATAAAAAAAGAAAAAGAAAATCAGAGAGAAAGTAGTTGTATAACTTGAAAACCTCGTGAAAATGAGTGTTTTAGTTAACACTGTCTTTCAATGATATGGTGTTACATCTCATTTGATTAATAGCTGAACGTGTATTATACCAAGATGCTAGTTACTTTTTTTATTTTATTTTTTATATGTAAATTTTTTTGATACAATATATTTATAATTTTATAAAAAAATTATGTTTATCTATTATTTGGATATGTTAAGTTTTATGAAATAACTTTTTAATAAAAAACTTTTAAATGTATATTAAGAGAATTTTAAAAGCTTAGTTTGAGTTTTGTTATACACTAAGCTTATTATTATACCAGTTCAGGGAATTGAAATCTTCGTGAGAAAAATTTATTTACTTATATTATTATGTGAATGATTTATATCCTTCTACATAACTCTAAATTCAAAAACATCATTGAGTCAATCAACAAGTGAATTAAAAAGGTTTTGTCCAAGAGTTTTTAAACAAATCTTTGTTGATTACATTACATGCGAATATAGTTTGGTGTGTTGAATATCAAGACCAAAGAGATTTATAAATAATCCGTGTGTTTCAACTACACAGCGGAGAGTCTATTATATGACTCAAAAGAAAGAAAATATAAAGAGATATACATGATGTGGAACTTCTATACTACTAATCTAAACTATCATTTACAACATGTGTCTTTGTCGTCTTGCGCACACTTAGGCCACAATATAAACAACAATAACATTTGTAAACTAATTTTCTTACATTATTTCTACAATAATTTTTAATGGTAAAATAAAAAAACATGTTTCTTTAAAATGAAAAAAATTTCATTATAAAAGAAATATATTTTTTGAGTGAGTAAATATTATTGTCACAAAATTCATTTATTTATGTATGAGTTGTAATGATTGTGAAGTGATATATCACCGTAAAATTCCTCGGCCAAGTATAAGACTCTAGTCATGAATAACGATACAAATGATGCAAGCATGCCTCGCATTGAAAAAGAAAAAAGAGATAAAACAATAAAAATTAATCCAAAATAAAGAGAGAAAAAAACAAAAGCTGCACTCTTTAATTTGTATCGGGATGCACATTCTTCCATGCAGAATGTTCTTTGGTTTAAGGGAAAGGAGGATTGTTACAGAAACGATGGAAAAGTAACTTAAAGGTTAAAGCAGCCTCAAAAATTTCATCTGCTACAACCACAAAGGCAAAAGAGCACACCACTGAGTACTGTATACTGTATAGTGCACTCAAATATGGCGTATGATTCTAGCTAAAAAATGCACTTGAGATTTAAATTGATTCATTGAGTCGTTGTAAAACTTGCATTAAAAATTTATCCTACGTTTGAATTGAGAAAAATAAAATAAGAAAATAAACTTAAGAGCTTGACATATTTTCTTATTTTAGTAAAATAAATAAATAAAAGATATATGAAAGGATGAAAACTGCAAAAATACTTTTTAAAGGTTCAGCGGGACTAGAGTGCCAATCCAATATTCCCGCTGCGGGTGGGTAGCTAGACTAGTTTTGTTCTTTGATTCAAATTTTATTTCTTCGTGTTTATTCTTTTAAATTACATAACTTATTTTATTTCACTCTCACAAAAAAAATGAGACTCGCACTTTTATATATTTTTGTCCAATCTCTCATCCTTTATCTATCTATTTCTCTCAATTAAGATAACACAATTTTACATCCTTTAAAATAATACACATTTTTTCTCACCAATTTATTCCATATAAATATTAATTCAAAATTGCAATTAATTATTAATATCATAAATAGTTTTTATTTTAAAAATTAATATCAAATTTCTTGAATTAAATAATATTAATACGATAAATAATTTTCAAATGTCTAGCATGATCTTGTAAATTTAAAAATAATAATTTAATTATTGATTTTTCTTTATATTTCTTTATTCGCCCTAAATAATTCAAATATGTAATAAATTTTGAGTATTTCACACCAGCAAAATTTTTTGTTTCTTATCCACTCCAGCTGGATTACATGCTGTCACATGGCAAAATTTTGATCCTCGGTTCTAATTTTTTATTTTCTTTTTCACTCTTATCCAATCATTATGTACAAATATTAATTAGCATCGTAAATAATTTTTTAAAAGTTCATACAAATTTAAAAATTCTAATGACGATTTTATGATTCCCCCCCCCTTTTTTGGTTAATATTTTTAAATATTTAATATGATTTAAGTTGCGTGAATGACATGCATAGTATAGGATGGCTTAAAGCTAAAGTTAATCCTGAAATATTAGTGTCTATTTGATTATGTTCTGTTTTATTTTTTTTCTTAAAAGTATCTTGTAAAATAATCAACGAAATAAGTGTTTCTTATGTGTTTTATTTATTTATTTTGAAACAACTGAAATATATTTTCTAAATTTGATTCTAATATATCAATATAACTTTTGGAATTATTTTAACAAAATAAACATTATCAAAAGGATTTTTATAATTTTTTTATTCTAAAAATTAAAAAACTGATTTTGGAAACACATTCAAATAGACCATGGTCTCTTGCTGTTTTTCGACCCGTTAGTTTGGTTCGCACCGTCGTTGAGGTACTAGTATTTTATGTAGCACCGATATCGATACGGGACACGAGATATTACACGACACACACGACACTTCGACACGTTAATTCTTAAAAAATATTAGATTTCGATACGTTAGGACACATTTTGATATTAAATAATGTTTTTAATTTATGTTACGTACATTATATTTAATATTTAATAATTTAACAAAAAATAAAACTAATTTATAATAATCATTAATTTTGAAAAGAAACATAAGATATCACAAATATTTAAATTAAATTTAATAAAATGGTAATAATAATTCAACGAATCTAATAGTTAGCATAAAAAATGCAACATTTGAACTTTTTTTTTGAGTCTTTACAATGCGCATGAGAGTGTCAGAAAATATCAGAGTATCGAATACGACACGTCAGAATTTTTGAAGTGTCCATATTTAGTAACTGTATTTATTGAAGATGTTTGCTTTATGTAAGATGTTTGCTGTTTTCTGATTTGATCATATGAAGAAAAAGTTACATTTTATCTCCAAAAAAAAAAAGTTAAATTAATTTATGAGAGTGACATCAAAGTTGTCTGTGTACTTTTTTTTATTAACTGTTTAAAAAAATTAAAATGAGTATTTACTTCTTTTTTTTCTTTCTTTTTTCAATGGATGCTTCCTGAGAGCGTAAACTAACCAGCGCATTGCTCGCAGCTATGTCTTAAGCATCAATGAAATTGTTCTCTTAATTATTTGATCTACAATTCATCAAACTATTCTAATTCTATTGTTACTAAATTTATATTGAAAAAGGTTATGTAGAGTGAGTTTTTCTCTAAAATTAAAAATTTTAAAGATATATATTTTCATTTTAATGTATGTGATGGATTAAACGATTCAAAAGTAGAAGTAGCTCTATTTATTTATTTAAAAATAGACATTCCTTTTAAAAGAACTTTTTCAGTGGGATCATAATTGTTTTGCAATTTGAGATTTTATTTATCCTATGATTTACAATAGAATAATTGTGAGACGAGTTTATTCTAAAATGAATTAGATATGATATTTTGATTTTTTTTTAACTTAGACTAGATTTGATTACAGCCAAATTAATAATCATTTTGGGATCGAGTTAATTTAGTATTTAGACAAAATACATAAATTTATTAAAAATCATATATAACTAAATTATAAAATATTAAAATTAAAAATAATAAAATTATATTTTTTTAACAAAATTATTTTAAAATAAATTATTATCACGTTATAAAAAAATAATTTCAGCTTAAACAATGTTTAAAATATTATTCAGCACAAAAAGACTAAACCAACGCATAAATATATCAAGGGGTTTGATTTTCTCATGTTAAATGAGAATTCAATTCTCATGTTGTAGAGATAAAAAGCATGTGGGACCCAGGTATTAGAAAAAATTATATGTAGGATCCATGTCAACACGGAAATCAAAAGATGTGTAGAAAAATTTGAATTCTCATGTTAAATAAGAATTATAAAACCGATATATCAAATACAACTTTTAAGACTTGTCCGTGTTATCTACAACCTAGACGGGTTAGAAGACAGAACAGAACGGGCCTTTTAAAACCCAGTATTTACAATTACAAATTTGTCTTTTAAGATGTCATTTCACTGTCAGCAATTGCACACCATATTAAATATGGTTCAGAAGATCATGTTTCGAAATTTATTAGGTCTCTTAAATGTGTCGGGGTAGGCGAGTGTTTCTTTTAGTCTTCCCTTTTTAAAAACGATTTTACCCTTTTTAGATTGAAAATTGTAATTCAAAAATATGATACGAAATTATAATAATCGGTTAAAATATTAAAGAAATGAATTTTAATTTTTTTATAATTTATTATATATACATTTTAATGTTTAAACTACTCCATCATTGCATAAGATATATATATATATATATATATATATATATATATATATATATATATATATATATATTTTACAAATAATTTTTAACGTTCTGACAATAAAAGTTTGAAGGTCAGAAAGGAATCCCCTCATTTTCCAGGCAAGAGACAGTGGTAGGTCGAACATTATTGAATGCATTTATGGTATTTTAATTAGTGAGACAGTGTAGTCACGAACAACAAATGAAAGAGGTCGCCAGAGTAGTTATTTTAACGTTGGTTTGTTTTGGATGCTTCTTTGGAAGTTCAAGATTAGCTTTCAATACAAATGTATGCATGTTAACAACTTATGTTACACAATTTTTATTTTAATTAGGATGTAGAGTCGTAAAAGGGAACAACGATTAGCATTCCTTTTCGTTGTTTGTGTGAAGTTGTGCAACATGATGCATACTGTGGAGTAAGAGGGTGCAAAATAATGTATATGAAAGTTATTAGCATGATCTTGCATTTAGGGTTGATTGAATTATTATGTGAGTTGTGACGTTGATTAGTTTTTGTGTATTGTGTTTTGTTAATTTATAAAGATAATTTTCAGAGAGTTTGCAATATTTCTCTCACTCTTTTCCCCTTAATCACATAAATGTCAATTAATATTAAAAAAACAATAATCACTATATAATAATTAAAAATATAAACAACTCAAATATTATATTTAAAAAAATAAAATTAATATTTATTTATTTATCTGGTGCAATCTTTTAAAATTTCTATAAATTTAAAATATTAAATGTATTGTTATTGTAATGATAATTTGATAATTAATTTATTTTTCTTTTCATATTTGTCTGGAAAATTAAATATTTGATAAAATCTAAAAAAATTCAAAGTCATCAATACTTTTTGGTCTTTTAGAACAAAATGTTCTTCTAATTTTTCACTCTTTGAATAAAAATGAAACAATAGAGAAGTGTATTGATTAATCACTAAAAACAGAAATTAAGAACAAGAATTATGTTTCCTGATTCTACTTCCTTCAAGAAAATAAAAATTAGAAGAAAAATATTTTGTACCTCAGCTTAATTAAACTTAATGCACAATTAAACCTACAAGAATGCAACATGGAGATTACATTAATCTTTTATTGTTTATACATGTATAACAAGTTTAATGGACTCAACTGAAAAATCGGACATATAACAGAATAATCTCCGCTACAAAAAGAATAAAGAACAAAACCAAGAAGAAAATAAAAAGTACAGTGCAACAACACAAGGGGGCGGGGGAACATATTAAGGAACATTGGTATTTATGTGGTAATACGTGGTGTCATGCTAACAATTCATTCCCATAACTACATAATGTTATAGGTCATCCATGCATAAATCCTATGGAGAGTTCAGTTTGTCTTTTGTAAGGATCAAGGATTGCATGGTTCCTTCCACTTGGGCATTGCGAGTCTCTTTGCACAGGGGTTATTTTAAGGTTTAGTTGTCTTGACTCATTTCACATCCACAGCAGTCCCAAGAACTTTAGCAGTCAAAATCCAACAGCAGCCATATGAGAATATCATCTGTTATCAAGTTGATACAGCCTAGCACGACCAGGATTTAGGAGTGATTCTGACATTTTCCATCCCTGCATGCAAATAGATTACATGTACTCGGCATTTGCAATGATTTAATACATATATACAGTAACTGAATATAAATGCTCATTATTTAATCTCGACACGGAAATGAGCCCTCAGATGTCCATTAATTACAATATGAATTGATAACTGTACATCCCTATATTCCGAATCCAAGTAGCGAGCTCCCTCCACAAAAATGGAAAAAGTGTTTCAAGATGCAATCTCTATCTTCATAACTATCTTCATTACAACTACAGCATTAAACTCCCTGATGAAGAAGGGCAGAAACCAGATTCTATATCCTCTATCTCTCAAAATTAAAAATTAAAAAACTAATCTATCCTGTCTTGGGAATTACCCAAACCAAAGCTCAAGGTATAGTCACCAATAGCTGGGCAGTGGGCATCATGCAACCCGAAGCTCCATTTTCGGGATAGAGACCAAAACAAGAGAATTTGAATTAGTAGTAGTACCTCCTCCAACTCCCTCTCCCCCAATAAAAATATCATTGACCAGGATGAGCAAACAGAAGGCCATCCACATGTCCACAAATTCAGGACCACAATAACAACAATTTCATTTCAAAGATAACATATTCAAAGCCAACCTCCAAAAATACTGCAGTGGTGAACATGATATGATGCAGAACCAACAAATAGATATTCTGGCTGCACTTACCTGTTCATTAGCTTTATTCCTGAAAAGCCCATAAGAATCTGCCACGATCTTGCAAGAATCAGCAATACGAGCCTCCATATCAGCAACTGTGTGCATCACAGTTGAGCTAAGATCCTCCCTTTGCTTCCAAGATGAGTCCTTACTTTCATTTGATGATTTTATGAAACTCAAGAGCACATGAGCCTGCAAAATAAGGTTATTTAAATTCTAATTACTTTTCAAATTAAGAGTTACCCATCTATTTTAACAATTTGTAAGACAGCCATATATCTCACATGGAATGCTGCTTTTAGAATATCGTCTGACTTTGCCTGATCCTTGAGCACAGCATAAACCTTATTTTTTGAGGGGTTATATGTCACAATATACCTCTCCTTCTGTTACCAATTAAGAGAACATAAGAATGTATCATGTAACAATGTCAATCAAGAGATAAATTTAAGAAAGCACAGAAAATTCTTATGCACTCAAAAAAGACCGTACATCAAACAGGGGCTGTATGGCAACATATTCAGTAGGGTCTTGGAATGCTTCCTTGATTCTTGACCCTAAAAAGACAATTGAAAAGAAATGTTCAGTTTTAACTTTTCAGACAAAACGACTGTAGTTGACAAGTCTTATCTTTCAGTCCGTTGATATACCAAGGACAACAGGCCGATCCTTCCACGGAAAACTGAATATGTTCTCATTCATATTGCCCTCCTGTAAAGTGGGAACTCGTCCTGAAATGGATTAGTTTAGTTAAAATATGAATGAAGCATATGGTGGAATAGTACATCTGAGACCATTAATGCTGGTATATATAAAAATGACTACACAAGAGAGAACAGCTTGATCAATAAGGGCAGCATGGATTTACTATTTGATAATGTAAAAAGGATACACATTCACTTCTGGATACACATTCACTTCTCTCTCTCTCTCTCTCTCTCTATTTGTAGGGTTGGGATGTCAGATGCTAGTGCATCTAAAGCAGTGATATAATACCTGTCTTGAGAAAGGACTCCACTGCCACACTGAATCTTGCGCAGTTAAGTGTATGTAAAACCACAGATTTTACCTATTAGTGCAAGAAGTATTAGTGACAACCACCAGATTGTAAGTACATTTACATAAGCATCATCATTTGAAATGCAAAACCAAACCTCTTTATAAGAGCTAAGGATATATCCACATGAAAAGAGGGAAAATGTGGTGACAAGAGATGGATTCTTTTTGGCAATCATTATGCTCAAACCAGTTCCTAACTGCAAATTGGAAAAGAAAGAGACTCAGCATTTGATTCCATCAAAAGATGGGCACAAAAGTCAAAGGTAAAGGTTATTAACATAGATAAGATTCTGAAAGTATAAAGAAAAATAATCTAAACTTCGAGATTATTAGTGACATGATAAGTGCTATCATATAGAAATTATAAACTTAAAAGATCAAATTGTTTCAGTGTCATACTATAATATTGGTTTTGGGAGCTGTTTTCAATGCTTCCTTACGTCATAATTTCTTAACTTTATAGGTTTAGTAGGATACTAGTTTCAGGTATATTTATATTTTCGGACACAGGGCTACTTTAGTAATCATAAGCTACAGTTGGGCTTGAGTTTTCTAATGTCCAACTTTTATTAGCGGATTCAGTAGTACAGTAAAAGTCTCACATCATGCAAGATTAGGACTCTATTCCCAATCATTATAGGATAACTGGAAGTTGCTCTCATGATTGTGTAATGCAATCAAACCACAGGTTTGTATACCCAAGGAAAACCAGGTTTGAAGCTATTCCGAACCAGCCACAAAGGCCAAATCCATTGGGCTAGTCACTAAGGCCCATTATGAGAGCTAAACTCCTGCACCTCTAAAGTGAGACAAATACACCCTCACTGCACAAGATCCCCATCACCTGAGCACACGTGCCTCACATGTAGGTGAGGGTGCACTGCCTCACCCCTAGTGGGGCTCACAAGGGCAAAACGGTTACGGCCCACTCTCTTGCACCTTAGAATCTTCTTCCCTTATAAAAACCCATTTTCTTCATTGAAGAGGCACCTTTTGCATACTCATTCACTAACCCGTTACTCTATCAGAATAAAACCACTTTTTGAGTCACCATGCCTTCATACTTCCCCTTGATTCTCAGTGTTTTCCTGCAACCCATACACCGTGACTCCATCACATAGCTTTGGTTCATACTACTGCCCCTCTATATCACTATATATTGACATACTCTACCCCAGGTGGGAAACAAATCTAATCTTAACACCTAGACAGTTCAGAAGCTTAGGCTAATTTTCTTCCTTCTGTTGTTTCTTTCGGCAGACTACATAGGAAACTATTTCTTCGAAAACCATCGCCATTCCTTGTTTGAATTTTCCCTAGCACTCATCAATCCTGAATTTTTCAATTTCATGTGCGCTGATCAAATAGGCAAACAATCACCAACTTGACTCCTAATAGCCCCTCCTTTTACCCACAAATTGTTCTTGTCTTAAGATAAATACCAGAGACCTGACATCCATCACTCCTCTACCCTTAATCCATGGTTCCCCTGTCATTATACATCAATTAGGAAAAATCAATCAGCTAGGCTTTGGACCAATATTTTTGTATATTTTTCTTTTATGCCATCAAATATTCAAATTAAAGTAATTACTTCAAGTCTTTGCGTTCAAAGCATATAATGGTACATACACACAAGAGCAGGCACAGATGCAAGCATATAGCGGATTAACCAGGTTTGCAAGTTAGTCTTTAGCCTGAACGAATCTTAGATGTGCAAAGAAGTTCAAAATGGTTGCAAACAATAGGCCACTAAATTATGCCAACATTTCATTTAGTAGCAATTGTTGAAATTCATAAACATACCAGGTCCGCAATATTGCCAACACATTCTCCTTTAGCAGTGACATCCCCTATGTTTTCTCCTTGAGCAAAGGCTTTGTAAATTGGTGTACGAGTTGATGTTGATGTCACAGCAGCAACATTCTAAGAGCAGAAATTAACAATTAAGCGTGCAGAACTGACATGAAACTGAATCACTCACCACAAAATAGTCATCGAACCTTTACTACATTAGCAGCACAAGCCAAAGGAAGAAAAAGATGTGGCACTGCAGCAGTTGCAAGTTCAACTCCGGCACCCAACTCCATGAGAAGATCACCTGCAAACCGCAGCTGTAACACAATAACTTTCAGACAGCAGATTGTGGGATAGCTCAAATTTGTATTATCAAATTGACCAGAACAAGTAGAAGCAGCAAGTAATTTACTACCTGTTTTAGATCATAATCAAATTTCTTTCCTTGCCGAGCATAAAGCATCTTCCCAACACGACCAGCTCCATCCTACATTTATTTTTCATGCTCATATTCATTTGAAATTTTGAATAGTACAGACCAACAGTATTATGACGATAGAGTCAACCTCAGGTATTAAGGATGCAAAAAGACAATAACACATTCATATGAAATCAGTTTCAAGCCCGGATGAGCAAACGTACAGATGGTGTTGCTTTCTAGAAGAAGAATATTAAGGGGTTTTCATTGTGATCTAAGAGCAAAAAGAAGAACCAAAATTTCATTTATTTTACTCGGCTTCATAACAAAAATAATATTATGAGATCTTTCATTGGTTCAAATTGTATGACAAAATTCAAATGATGTTTAAACTCTGAACAATAACAAATTTCAACAATTCAAATAAACACACCAGAGGAAATTAAGCAGTGCAGCTTCAGCGAGTAACTATTCTATAAAAGAGAAAAAAAACAGCTCATCCATATTTTTCTCAATAACTCCAAATAGATAATATTCATCGTTTGTCCTCTCAAGACGTGAAGGTTGACAAAGTCCAAAAACAATAAATCCAAGGGATGAACTGATCAGTTTGCCAAAACGTGATGTTACAAGAGAGCAACACCCTCGCACCCCATACTTGGATCATAAGAGTTAATTATGAACAAAGCTTATAATTTTGAGGTCAGGGTTATTTTGTCACAGGGTATGGACTTACCTTGAGAATCCAGTTAATAGCCACGGCCCCAGGAGCAGATCTGTTTCTAGAGACACCAACAGAATTCAAAAGGGTTTGAGTTGTGAAAACGCCCATTGCTCCACCAAAAAAGTGCTATGAGGAAAACAATTAATTATAAATCATAAAGCATTCAATGTATCTATCAGTCAATACAGCGCACTCTGTAATGCTTCAAATATGACTCCGGACTCTTTTAAAGTGTTACAAAGCCAAGCGTATAATTTGAAATTGGGAGATGGGGATACCTTCAGAGCCCTCCATGTCATGTATGGGACATATGAAGGGGTGACACTATCAGGGAAACCTTCGGGAACAACATAGGATCTAACGAATGACATCAGTTCCTGCATTGAGAAACATTGATAATGAAGTAAGTAAAGGTTTTCTAGTTTGCATGCGAAGTCAATCAATATATGAAAATTAATTTGAATTGAGTGAGAAGAAGAAGAAGAAGAAGAAGAAGAAGAAGAGGGGTTAACATCAAGAGGAGCTTGAGGGGTGTGCAAGCAGAGAGGACGAAAGGAATTCTTCATGAATCGGCCAGAGGCATCAGTCTCGGCGACATACTTCCATCGACGGCCATCGATTTCCTCGCAGCAAATGAATGTCAAGGTAGAAGTGGAAATTGATTCAGCAACGGAAGGCGGCGTTGGCGTTTCGAGGAGAGGGGATGAGGCCAAATTGGCACTGATACGGAGGGTTTCGCGGACGAGAATATCTTGAGAAGAAGATGCTATCGTATTAGCCGAGTTGGAAGATTGCTTCATATTCAGATTCAGATTCATGGGGTTGGGAGCCATTTCATGAGAACATCAAGGGGGGTCTGGTCTGTTCTGTTCTGTTCTTGCTTCTATTCCCTTCCCTTATTTATTTATTTATTTATTTATAGAGAATACTAATAAATGGGGTTGGGGTTGGGATGCGCATAGTTTTCATCGAAAGAAAGAAACATGGAAAGAAAGAAACAAAGAAAGAGTGAAAAACATAAGAACAAGGCAGCTGCACTGCACTGCACAGCACAGGTGGCTTTCATTTCATCTATCAACGGAGCTACTGAGGCTGCCCCCTGTCCCTCCCCTCTTCTCTCACATGCTCCACACGACGTCGCTCTGCTGTCCTCAACTACCTTTTTTTGGTAAACTACTTCTTTTACTTCTACTCTCCCATCATCAAGTATTATTCAAGTTTGATCTAAATAAATAGATTATGTTTATATTAAATATCTTTAAAATCAATCAAGACTTTAAAATAAATAAATAAATAAATAAATAAATATTATTATTTTATTAATTAAAATAATTAAAATAATTATTTTCTTTTATTTTAATTAAAACAAATGTATGATTTATACATTTGTATATAAAATTTTATAAAAATATATCTATTGCCTAAAAATATATCTATTGCCTATTTTTTAAATTAAATTTCATAAAGACTGAACCTAATTTATTTTATTAAATATACTAGATTAAATTTAGACGAATATAAATTGGGCCATAAATTCCTGATAATTACCTGACCTATTCACATCACTACAGTTACAATCACATGGATCATCACCATTTTTTATTTATTTTTACGTTACCTTCTCATATCCAATCCACTCTCTTTTATATGTATCACTTTTTATTAATATAATATTTTGGTTTAGAAAGTTGTCTTACGATAACGAGTGATTTTATTTTTTTTTGAGAAAAATTTATATTCTAAAGAGAAATACAATTCCCAAATTATTTATATATTTTTTCCTCAAATTTTAAAATGATGTCATTTGGATTGTTTGGGATAATTTTCTCTCTAATAACACGGGAAATTGTCACTTATTTTCAATATAGATTTGGTTTAAAATATATAAATATTATATGAATCATTGATTTTATTTTAATTTTTCTTAAAAAAACCTAAAGAAGAAGAAAACAATATTGTAATCATGCATAGAAGATGGGAATGGTACAAGTTGAGAAATGAGAACCACATATCATCCACGCCCTTCTGTCCTGTCTACCAACAATTAACAATTAAAGGCCGCATTTTCCTTTTGGGCGGGTCACCAATAAACCGTCCACCTCAATTGCAATATGTAACTGTTTTCTCCGGCCAAACGTTAATACATGTCACGTGCTCTTTCATTCTCACAAACTAAATCATTACTTATTTATTTATTTATTCATTTTTATTTTAGTTTGCTACTGTATAGATGAATTATATGATGTGTAGCACCAATACCAATTTAATGAAGAGAAAGAGAAGGGGATTTGGAATTTTTTTTGTCCTTTATTTTCCCATGCTTTTGACATATATAAACCCTTAAAACAGAAATTGTAAAAAGCAAAATTAAAATGGAAGTGCAGAGTTTCGTAAAATGTGATGATGGTTTCGAGTTGGGTGGTTACAATCCATTCCTGATTAGAGCTTCAAGCTAAGATCAATGCAGCCTCCTCCTGCTTCACGCCCTCCATGATCTGGGCTCATCCACTCTGACTCCTCCACTTCTAAGAAGTTATAGAAAGGCCTACTCTTACTCTCTCCTCCACTTGATTCTGAACGTTGGTATGCCTCCTCCATTCTATCCTATCAAATTTTTAAGCCAATAAAAAACAAATATACTTAGCTACAATTGAAAAATTTGTCGCAAACATAGAGAAACTTTGTACTTTGCACCCTTCTTAATAGAAAACTGAGTTTCATTTTTCATGTGGTCAAATATATTTAATCAATGTCAAGAGTATTATGCTTTCTAGAGGCTGTTAAAATTCAAGTACTCCATTTGAATGGCCATGTAATTAAATTGTATAACTAAACTATTCAAGGTAAGAAATATTCAATCAATTACAGGCCAAGTACCGTCAATTCCCAAACACAAATTTGTATGGCATTGTACATCGAATTGCTGTTTTTGAGACCCCCGGAAGTACAACTTAACCAAAGACAAAAGCTAAAGCAAAGGAATACTATTATATTAATATAATTTATAATAAACGTTGCTGATTCCTATAGGAGGGAATAAGAATGGTTACCTTATGTTCCTCTCGGGCCCTAGATGTGTAGCTGTAATATGAATTTTGGTTTGAAGGGGGCTCTAGATGATTGTGCACTCCAATGGGCAATGATCCTGAAGAAGTCAGGGCACAGGTACCAGCCCCTGTAAATTGATTCATCTGCATGTTGTACAATGAGAATTTCTTTTACGCACAGAAATTAAACAATGGATTGGCAAAAAGGGTCATAGACACGTAGAGAATATGAATGATGTCATAAACAATTACCGTGAGAGGTGGATACTGGTTGTTTCTCTTTTGAATCGTAGCAGGATAAGACCAGATGTGATTGAATTCACTCGACAAATTCCTAGATGGGGAATTGCCAGAGTCAAATTGGTTTCCATCCACCTCTTCATTAATGAGGATGGACTTGGACCTGCATGAACTAAGATTCTTGGGAAATAATTCTTGCTCACTCCAAACCAAGCCTGATCCACCGTTTCTTCCTAATGGTCCACAAATGGGAGTCATGATTGATGGTTTAGTTGGGCCTAAATGATCAAATTTTGGGGCTGATGGGACATGAGTAGGCAAATTGGTTGGTGTGGGATGTGATTTCAAAGACGAAGAAAGAAATGAATTTGAATGATGGGGAATGAAACATGAAGATGAAAATCCTTCAACATTTCCCCTGTCTGTTATGTCTATTCTTTCCTGCTCTCTCAAGATCTTCTCGAGTTCAGCCACTCCGGGACCTCTTTTTGCTACTCTTGGATGTTTCTGAGGCTTCCTCAAACCAGAACTCCAACTGCCAGCACCATTTCCTCCTGTCTCACAGCCACATGCACTACTTCCAGTATTGCTGCACATGTCTACCACACCACCACTATCTCTTCCTTCTGTGTGTGTGAATGATCATCCAAAACCAATCCAAATATATAAATACAATTGAGAGATCGAGAGAATTCATAAATGATCCAAATTAAATACCCATTTGAAGGATCACAAAATATAATCTAAAGGAGTAACAAAAAATATTCATTCAAAAAACAGATACCGTGATATATAGAAAGAAAATCTCATATTATAGAGGAGAATGCGCCTACTTAGTTGGTGCAATAAACAAGAGTAAACCTTGTCTGCAGCTATGGAAAATCTTAAGTCGAGAGAGAGAGTGATATCTAAATTTGTTCCCGGGATTTTCTCACACCCTTTTGAATGTCCGAGAAAAACAAATCAGACATCATCATAAAGAGTTTTTCAAAGCCATGAAATCCAAGCATTCATTAGAATCTTTCTCGCCCTCTCGCTTTTCTCGCCCATGTTTTTCTCACTTGCTTTCTGCTTTCTCTTTTCCAAAGGAAAGCAAGTTTTTAAGGATTCTGTAGTGAAATTTCTACTCTTGTTAAATGCGTGTGATAATCTCTGCTATTTTTAACCCGTAACATCCATTTTCCTTGCTCAGTTATTTGCATGCAATTTATAGTTATTTTTGTGCACATGCTCTTGAATATTACACTTGTTTCTTTCTTCGTTTGTAAATCTTTTATTTTTAGTTTTGAAAATTACTCCATCAAGTTTAAAGTCTGTTTGGTTGGGCACCCAAGAAAATTTACTTGAGAAGGAAAATCACATTCTAATTACTCTCGTATAATTTAAAAAAGAAGAATGGAGAATTGTCTTGTCAATCTCTCAACCTACTAGAAAAGAAATGTCATTTGTGTATGTGCATGTAATTTTTTAGTCCTTTAATTTTCACATGAAATGGAACAATATTTAAAAAAAAATAAGAGAATTAACAAAATACAGATAATTGTTTTCCTATCTAGATTTTAAAGAAATTAAACTTAAGGCTTAATTTATTTCCCTTTATCTATTCTTTATGGCTATAATAATAAAGTGGGGCATAGAGCCTGCAAACAAACAAACCCAAAAAGTAATACCTACAAAATTTGGAATAAAACTTTGTTAGGAAATATGTACATCTCCAACCTGGCAGCCTTAAAATATTACATTTTTAAAAGCCGTAAGAGATGTAACTGCTACATAAGGCAACCAATCTATGCCACAAAACCTTCATTAATGTGCTAAAAAAAGAAAGTTGTATCAATTAAATTTGACATTAATCGTGCTTTTCCTCTTTAAAAGCAAAACTTTCTAAAAATACATATTCTAAGGACCATATATATATATATATATATATATATATAGAGGATCCTTTGACACCGGTACCAAATTTGAAATTTGATATCTCATCTAAGTGTCATTAGATCAAAAAAAATCAACAGCTCTGATTTGTAAGCATGTGACACCATTGATCTTTTTTGATCCAATGGCTTTTAGATGAAGTGTCAAATTTCAAATTTGACACTAGTGTCAAAAGATCTTATTTCATATATATATATATATATATATATATATATATATATATATATATAGGGAAAAATATCTATCCTTTTAAAAGATATAAGTTTATATCATTTTAAATCCTAACCGTTGATTTCCGTCCATCAATGGTTATAATTTATTAGGCCAAACTTAATGGGCCAAATTTATTATTAATTAATTAATAATTTTGATCCAATAAATTATAACTGTTGATGAATGGAAATCAACGGTTAAGATCTAAAAAGATATAAGTTTATATCCTTTAAAAGGATAGATGTTATTCCCATATATATATGAGATAGGATATTGTGACACCCAAGTTATGTTACACCCAGTCAATCTCACCGTTAGATCGCTTATGTTGATCCAACGGTTATATTTATTTCCATCTTTGTATGGTCATGATTTCACAAATTTAAAGTGAAAGCATTAAATATGGAAAATTATAACCATACAAAGGTAGAAATAAATATAAAATATTAAATTTGGAAAATCATGACTATACAAATATGGAAATAAATATAACCGTTGGATCAACATAAGCGATCTAACGGTGAGATTGACTGGGTGTCACATGAGTGTAACATAACTTGGGTGTCACAATCTCCTATCCCATATATATATATATATATATATATATATATATATATATATATGTTGAGAAATCTTTTGCAAGGCAACAATAAATGCACCCATTTTGTATCAAAAAAGAAAAAGAAAAGAAATGCACCCACATGGGTCATATACGGATGTAATCTTCACTCATTATGAAGATCACCCCCCTTTCCCGGCCCCGCATCATCATAATAACCCTTTTTTTTTATTTGGTGAAAATAATAACCCTTTTTCATACATGCTAGCTGCTGCTGATAGGCCCAAATCCTATTATGGATAAGATTTTCTATTGTATGAAATGTCATTAATAGATACCCTCTCAGTGAAAAATGTTTGCAAGACTAAATGGCTTAAATTATGAGTGGTTAAATTAATAAATGGCTTCTGCATCCGGTGTATTGGCTACAAAATTTGTCACTTTCTTTTTTCTGAATAAAGATGTATAAATGGTAGCGACAAGCAAGGAAGCACGGATACTTGTAAAATCAGGAAGAGTCGGGTCCGACACGCTCCGACACGGCGACACGCTCCGACACGGTGTCGGACATGCTGTTGACTTTTTCCGACACGATGACCATTCCGACACGCGAATTTGACCGTGTCCGACACGGTCAAATGACATTTTAGTAATTTTTATTTTATTTTATTTTTATTTATTTTTAATTTTTTTTAATTTTTTAAAAAAACATTATTTTTTTTAAGAGTTAAAATATATTAATAAAGCTTCAACCTGATCATATTAATTTTATCTTTTTGTCTTTTTTTCCCTTAAGTAGATAAGAGATCATCTTAGCATCATTGTTATCAATTCCTATCACGCTCTTGTTGTATCTTCTTCTCTCTGATCTCTCTCTAATATGATTTGATCTCTCTATCTGATATTATATCTCTCTCATTCCAGTTCTTATTTTTTTGATTAAAGCTTCCATCTTTATAACGTATTGATGGGTATTATTAATCCAGTTTCATTTTTTTGTTAAATTATTAAATATTAAATGAAATATACACTATATAAATTAAAAATATTATTTAATATTAAAACGTGTCCCAACGTGTCGAAATCCATAATTTTTTAAGATTGAGGTGTCGAAGTGTCGTGTCGTGTCGCGTGTCGCGTGTCGCGTGTCGTATCGGTGCTACATAGGCGACAAGTTGGAGGGGCCAACTGAGCATAAGAAAAAAAAAGAAGGGAGTGATTACAATAAAAAGATTACAATAAAAAAGAAGGGAGAAACATAACGTTGGAGAAGAATTGATATCCAAAGATGCACTGATCTAGCGTAGAAAATTTATGAGAATATATGCAAAAGATTCAGCCATTTATTGTGATTATTCTTAGACTTGATGAGAAATATAACTCTCAGATTAAGGTTTGTATTAAAGAAGGAAATAATTAAGAGTCAGTAGAAATGAGAAGATTACGTATCTGTTAAAGATTTGTCTAGGAATAAATGCCTACTTCAAAACCGTTGTTACTTAGCCCGGTTTGGCAGGAAATGATTTTGCAACCTTAAAACATTGACTTGGCTCAATACCGATTAGGAACCCAATAATAAGACAATAATATCGTTTTCATAAATTCATGATTTCATACCCGGAAAGTCCTGAAACTTATCATATTTAAACGTCATTTAGAAGAAATCCATCAACATTATCTTTTGCTTGGTGGAGGATCTTCCTAATTTTGTTAAATCAAATCGTATTGTTAACCTACATATATTCAATTGAAAATTGCATCACTCATTACTATACTTATTGTATAACTATATATAAATAAGTACAAACTAAAAGCAATAATGCCCTAAAAGAAACTATGAAATTTATGTTTATTCAGTTTTGAATGTTCACAAAACTATGGGTTTGTAAGAAGGAATTTGGATAGTGTATAAAAGCTCATGGGATCAAATTTATGTATCACCTTATGTCACAAGCCTCTTGACATGAATAATAAATTATTTAAACGTGGAGAAAAATAAGTATATAAAAAAGAAGAGATACAATATTATTACTATCAATTAGTGTTATTATCAATGTTATTACCAATTTGTTTCATCATTAGATCGATTATATGGATCTAATGGTTCTGATTTAACTTTTTAAAAATCTTCTTTCTTCTCCCAATATTTAATAGTTTGTATTTATTATTCACTTTTATATGGTTATTATTCTCTATATTTAATGTTTTACATTAAATAGAAAACATTAAATATGGAGAATCATAATCATACAAAAAGTAAAAATAAATATAATCTTTGGATCAACATAATTAATTTAACGGTAAAATAAACTGGTAGTGATATTGATAATAACACTAATTGATACTAACAATATCTTATCATAAAAATTATTTGAAAGTTGATTTTTTAGTAAAGGAATATGTAACCTAGTCGCACTATTTATATATAAGCCAAATTTCTTTGTTTGAAAATTGTTTTGGGGATCTTACAGATTTACAAATACACGGCGTAAACAATCCCAACAACCCATAAATCAATAAAAATTAAAACTAAGGTACACACCAATGTAAGGGGAGAAAATATACGGTCACTTGCTAATTTAGTGCCTTTCTATGATGATCTTTCCCTGCGACTATCCTATTCTCAAGGCTGAACCCCACCTTCTCCAATTCATTACCATCTTGTGGCTCATCGCCGCCCTCGACCGGTTGTACTATGGGTTGGGCTTACACCCCTGTCGCTAAATTTATATATTTGAACCTCTCACCTGAAAATAAATATGACATCATGTAGTTATAATCAAATAAAAAGGGATCAATGATAATAAAAAAGAGAGAATTTTTTTTTTTTGATAAATAAAAAGAGAGAGAATTTTTTTTTTTGATAAATAAAAAGAGAGAGAATTTATTAAAATATATATTTACAAAATCATAATCATTGATTCATATTTATATAATTGTGATCTTTTAACATGGTTTTGTTATGTGTTTTTTTTTTTTCATGATCTCATCTGATAATATTAAGGAAACTCTTTATAATAATAATATTTAAAATTAATTTTTTTTTTCAGATTTTACTTTTTTTGACTAAATATATATAAAAATTTTATATTTAAAAATTTGAGCATAATTTAAGATAAAAATAGTGCCACAAACGTCATAATTGTTAAGGTTGTAGAGAGACATGCTTAAAAACTATTTATTATATTATTAGCCCGAGTAAGTGTGGTTTGTTTCATAACTGAAGATAACAGTCAACAACATACAGTGGAAGCAAAGCAGGTGATGGTGAGGAGTGAGGAAGAAGAAGAAGAAAAGCATGTTGTCAATTATAAGGAGAAGCAGGGTGATGTCCTCATTCTTGTATTACCATCAGTTCTCCAAAACCCTCTTTCTCAAAAACAACAACAACAAGTATTCAGTATCAGGGTCAGAGCGAGGGTTTCAGCATCAGCATCGGCATCAGCAGCAGCGGTGGAAGTGGGGGAAGGGAACAGATGATGGGTACGATCACATAAGAGCGGAAGTTAATTGCCCACGTTGCACCAAACAAATGACCGTTATATTCTCTAACCGACCCTTATCCATTTCGGGTCGGCAACCGGGTATGTACCATGCCCTCAATCTCTGTCCCACTTGCAGAACTGCCTTCTACTTCACCCCACACAAGCTCTCTCCTTTGCACGGCTCTTTCATCGAGATTGGCACCGTTAACCTTAACAACAACAACCCTCACCCTCACCCTCACCCTCAATCTTTGGGGTTTTCTCGACCCACAACCAATCCCAATCCCAATGCCAACGATTTGCCAACACCCAAGCAGATTTTTAAGGCCCTCAACGACTTTGTGGTTGGTCAGGAAAAAGCTAAAAAGGTCCCTTTCTTTCTTATATATATATATATATATATCATTATCTCAATTTATGTCATCCATAGATACACTGATACACTCAACTCAACTGAACTCATCATATTATTCTCATTCTCTCAATTCAAAGGTGCTTTCCGTGGCTGTTTACAACCACTATAGCAGGATACGCCTTCCATCCTTCAATCAAACTCAGTCGCTGGATAACGATGATCAAAATGATTTCGTTGACCCAGAAAAAAGCAACGTAATGCTCATTGGTCCTACAGGCTCAGGTATATATCACTCTCATTTCCCTCTCTCTGCCTTACCTATGCCTCAGCCTCAACCTCAACTGCTAATCTAATAATCATATTCAATCTGATCATAGGAAAGACATTGCTCGCTAAAACTCTGGCCCGTATTGTAAATGTACCATTTGCCATTGCTGATGCAACAACGTTGACCCAGGCATGTTATGTTTCCCACACATCTCATCTCATTACTATATTATATTTTTTTATTCCTTTTCTCGACTCTGTAATACAAATACCTCCTTCCAGGCAGGTTATGTTGGAGAAGATGTCGAGTCAATATTGTATAACCTTCTCGTGGTATGTCCTTCTGTTTACATTGCAAATCTATTTCCTTTTTCGTTACAAAAGCTTTTATACCTTAGCATTCCTTGAGACTTGATTGTCTATGCTGATCTGGATAATGTATTGGCACGCGGATATTTTACTTTAAAATGAACTTGAACTCTGGTGTTATCCTTTTATAACGTAGCAAGCGTGCATGGTGCAAGTAATACTGTGATATGCATGCACGCTGGATATTTAAATGTCAATAAATAGTGACTTAGTCGTAGGTAAGCTCTGCATCATTCCTAGGCTTCATGAGTAATACATCCTAATCCATATCCAACTGCACAAACTAACCCATCTGAACCACAACCACCAATACCAGTTGAAGCTAATTCATCATCACCATCAGTGTCAGTTGAAGATAACTGCATTAGGCCAACTAACCATAACAGAACGGTGGAAGCAGTTAGAAGAGTTAAACAGAATAGTTGATAGTTTGTTATTTCTTGTTGCTTTCTTAGAGTTAGATCATGTATATATATATATACTTATCCTGTAACTTTATGATGGACACTCGGTTGCGGTGGATGGGCTCTCTCCTAGTGGACCAACTGTTAGTGGGTCTCATGCGTCAGAAGGGAAACCAATTATGGAGAGACCAACGGGGGATGGGTTGGCTGAGGATGATCCAATTGTTGATGGGCTGACTGATGTTTATGGGCCAGTAGCTGCTCTCAAATTGGTGGACAATGTACCTAGAAGAAGAGTGGATCGTAAGGCTCAAAGGAGGAAAGCTTATGACAACTGGAAGTTGGTTAGCACCTTGGACACGTGGAAGGCTGCCCACGGAGAGGAAAAGTGGGAGAAGGAATGAGAGGATGTGAGGGATATAAGTTAGTTAGTGAGGAGTGGGATGGGTATTGAGTATTCTGGTAAAAAGGGGTAGTAGGAGCAGTGGCATTGAGCATGAGTCTCAATGGCTGCCTAAGGAATAAAGGGTAATTCTCTTCAATCGGCCATCTGAGAGAGGAGGATATTTTCTGCTTTTAAGGTGTAATAATCCTTGTATTGTTGTGGGTTCATTTACTGTTTAAGTATATTGTTCCAGTAGTTAAATACCATTCCCAGAGATTGATTCCGTTCTTAGTTAATATTACTTCTGTCATTTAATTGTAAGTGTTCTACTGTTGTATTCTTTTGGTGCCAACAATTTGGTATCAAAGCTCTTACGGTCGGTGGGGAGCTGTATGGTAAGGACGAGAATGGAGACTAGAGTGGAAGAAGTAGAGAGGAGGACAGAACGAATAGAGGAAAACATGGGAGAAGTCAGGATTGAGGTGCGTCAGATGAAGGAGGCACTTACTGAGTTTTTTAATAGGATGGACAATGGAAGCAGGGGATTCAGAGGAAGAAACGGAGACACAGATGCAAGGGAACATGATGGCAACCATGGTCGAGGACCGTGGGAGAGGGGAGAGGAAAGGATGCGTCGAGTGGAAGTTCCTTATTTCTCCGGTGATGACCCTTACGGATGGATATTCCGAGCGGAACGTTACTTCCGTGTGAATCACATTCCACCCGAGGAACAAGTTGAAACGGCCTCCATCTGTTTGGAGAAGGAAGCTTTAAGCTGGTTCCAATGGTGGGAACCCAGGAATCCTTTGACGGACTGGACAACGTTTCGATTGGCGGTGTTGCAACGCTTCCATGTTTCCCCGTCGGGAAATCCTTATGAAGCGTTAATGGAGTTGAAGCAATCCGGCACAGTGGCTGAATTTCGTAAACAATTCGAAGTTCTGTCGGCACCGTTACGGCAAGCGGATGAGGAGATGATGCAGGCAGCTTTTTTGACCGGATTGAAACCGGAAATTCGAGCGGAGATCCGTTTGCACTCACCAGAGGATTTGGAAGGGATGATGGTGTTTGCTCAGCGAGTTGAGGATCGCAACGCAGTGGTAGGCAAGGAGAGTGGGGATATGGGCCGAGGAAGCCACGGGCCCAATAGCCACACTAACGGATGGGGTAGGCCTGCCTTATCAAACCGTGGAGGAGCGAATACCCCAAGGGGAGTGAATTATGGGCCAGCCACAACGGCCCAAACGAATCCATCTAACATATCGGTCACACCAGTGTCGGTGGCCAGCAACACTCCCACGATCCCTAATCGACGAGTAGTGGGTACTCCAGAAGCAAGGAATACCTCCCAAACAGGAGATGCGACGGTGGGAGGATCCGAGGGCCGTAGTGGGAACCGGTTCCGGCGGTTGTCACCAGATGAGGCAGCTGATTATCGACGGCGAAACTTGTGTTTTCGTTGTGATGGACCCTATGGTCCAGGGCATGTGTGTCCGAACCCTCATCTGTGGGTTTTACTGTTGCACGAGAATGAAGATGTTCCCACAGGGGAGGAATGGGGAGGGATCGAAACAGGAGGAGAATCGGAAGAGATTCTTCAACTAAACGTCCAGAGTGTAGTTGGGTTGACCTCCAATCGATCCTTAAAACTATGGGGGAAGGTGAAGAACCAAGATGTGGTCGTACTCATAGACACGGGTGCTTCGAACAACTTCATTGGAGATGACACTGTTGACCGGTTGGGCCTTTCTCTCGATCACTCTAAAACATTTCGTGTGGGGGTAGGGGACGGAGCCCAAGTACAAGGAAAAGGGTATTGCAAGGATGTGGAATTGTTGCTGCCAGGTTTGTCTTTGACTCAGGACTTTTATGTTTTCCATCTTAACGATGTGGATGTGGTGCTGGGTTATTCATGGTTGGAAGAATTGGGGAATATTCAAGCGAATTTTAAGGAACGTATTCTCCGTATTCCATGGCAGGGGAAGGAGGTGTTATTGCAGGGGGATCCGTCTCTCTCGTGTAGTAAACTCTCCTATAAGGGTATGTCACGAGCTTGGAAGAAGGGAGAAGAGGGATATTATGTGGAGTTGGGGTATTGTGTTCTGGAGGAAAATCCTTCTCAGGACCTTTCTCCACTGATCTCGGAGTTACTGCAGCAGTATCACGATGTATTTCTACCACCATCCGAGTTGCCTCCATTTAGGAATTGTGACCATAAGATATTGCTGACAGCAGGGGCTGCCATTCCTAATATACGACCGTACCGCTATCCGTACTATCAGAAGGAAGAGATTGAAAAGTTTGTGAAAGACATGTTAGAGGCAGGAATGATAAGGCCGAGCTGCAGTCCTTATTCCAGTCCCCTGATATTGGTCAGGAAAAAAGATGGAAGTTGGCGTTTTTGCGTAGATTATAGAGCTTTGAACAAGGTAACCATTCCAGACAAATTCCCACTGCCTGTTATAGATGAGTTATTGGATGAGCTACATGGAGCAGGAATTTTTTCCAAATTGGACCTGAAATCGGGGTATAATCAGATTCGCATGAGGGTTGACGACATTGAGAAGACGGCTTTTCGGACTCATGAAGGACATTACGAATATCTCGTGATGCCTTTTGGGTTGAGGAACGCTCCTTCGACGTTTCAATCCTTGATGAATGAAGTCTTCAAGCCCTTTTTAAGGAAATTCGTCTTAGTATTCTTCGACGATATTCTGATATATAGTCACAGTGAGGAACAGCATTGTGAGCATTTGAAGGTTGTGCTGGAGATTCTGCGTTCTAATCACTTTTCAGCTAACAGAAAAAAATGTACATTCGCACAGTCTGAATTGGAATATTTGGGTCATTTGATCTCCCAAGATGGGGTGAAGGCTGATCCTCAAAAGTTGGTGGCTGTCAGTCAGTGGCCAGTCCCTAAAAACTTGAAGGGCCTCAGGGGATTTTTGGGGCTCACGGGTTACTACAGACGCTTTGTCAAGCAGTATGGTCATCTGGCTCGGCCACTTACCCAACTGTTAAAAAAGGATAGCTTCGTGTGGGGCGAAGAAGCACAACTTTCCTTCGATGCATTGAAGGGGGAAATGATGCAGCTGCCAGTTCTTGCCTTACCCGACTTCAACACACTTTTTGTAGTTGAGACTGATGCTTCAGGAGTAGGGATGGGGGCTGTTCTGATGCAAGAGAACCGGCCCATTGCTTTCCTTAGTAAAGCATTTTCTGATAGGGATCGGCTGCTCTCGGTTTATGAGAGGGAGTTAAAAGCAATTGTGTTTGCCGTTCAGAAATGGCGTCACTATTTACTGGGACGACATTTTTTGATTAAAACAGATCAAAGGAGTCTGAAGTATTTGACAGAGCAACGTCTAATGGTGGAAGGCCAACAAAAATGGGTTGCAAAACTTATGGGGTATGACTTTGAGATTCAATACAAGCCAGGACCGGAGAATACAGCTGCGGATGCTTTATCACGGGTAATGGATTGTAGAGAACTCACACTGCTCACAAGCCCAGATTTACAGAAGCTTTCTGATGATATATTGAGGGATCCCGCTACTAAGTCCCTCCTCACAGCTGTTATGCTGGATGCTCACTCTCATCCGGGTTATCATGTCACTAATGGTTGTCTTTGGTTTAAAAACCGTCTGGTCCTTCCCAAATCTTCTCCTCACATTCCAGTTATTTTACAGGAATTTCACTCATCACCATGGGGGGGACATTCGGGTGAATTACGAACTTATAAGCGGTTGGCGGCTATATTTTTTTGGAAGGGTATGCGTAAGGTGGTGGCTGAGTTTGTTCAAGCATGTGAAGTCTGCCAACGGCAGAAATACAGTCACTTGAAACCTGCGGGCCTATTACAACCACTCCCAATTCCCCAACAAGTATGGGAGGATATCTCAATGGACTTCATTGGGGGATTACCGAAATCATTGGGGGTTGATACAATCTTGGTGGTGGTTGATCGACTAACGAAATATGCCCATTTCGTGACTTTAAAACACCCTTATGATGCACAAACAGTGGCGGCTGTCTTCATGAAGGAAGTGGTTCGTCTACATGGCATCCCAAAGTCTATTGTTTCTGACAGAGACCGTGTTTTTGTGAGTAAATTCTGGTCTGCACTATTTCAGTTGGCAGGTACAAAATTGAGGTTCAGCTCCGCTTACCACCCTCAAACGGATGGGCAAACCGAAGTGGTCAACCGCACCTTGGAGACTTATTTGCGTTGTTTCGTGAATGGTCATCCCAAAGCTTGGGCTAAGTGGCTGTCGTGGGCGGAGTTCTGGTTCAACACATCCTTCAATCGCTCTATTAACATGACTCCTTTTCGTGCACTATATGGCCGAGAGCCACCTTCGATCATTTCATTTCCAACTACACGCACGTCGGTTGCCGCTGTAGACACCTGGCTGCAGGCACGAGATGTGATTCTCCAGGAGCTTAAAGTTAATTTGTTCCAAGCTCAACAACGTATGAAGGTACAAGCAGACAAGGGCCGCAGGGAGGAGGAATTCTCATGTGGGGAGCGGGTATACTTGAAAATCCAACCTTATAAGTTGCGATCTCTGGCCACGCGTGTCAACCAGAAACTCAGTCCGAGGTTTTATGGCCCTTTTGTGATTCAGGAACGGGTGGGATCCGTGGCTTATAGATTGGAGCTGCCTTCATATTCAAAGGTCCACCCTGTTTTTCACGTTTCACAATTGAAACGAGCTGTTCATCCTTCGGTATCAGTTTTGGAGTTACCCCGTGGGTTGTCTGATTCATTGGAGCTGCATGTTTCCCCAGCTGCAATTCTGCAGGCTCGCAACTCAGAGGATGGGCAGAGGGAGGTACTCGTACGTTGGGAGGATTTACCTGACTGTGATTGCACTTGGGAGAGGTTAGTTGATTTTCAATCTCTTTTCCCTACCTTTCACCTTGAGGACAAGGTGATTTTTGAAGAGGGGGGTGTTGATGGACACTCGGTTGCGGTGGATGGGCTCTCTCCTAGTGGACCAACTGTTAGTGGGTCTCATGCGTCAGAAGGGAAACCAATTATGGAGAGACCAACGGGGGATGGGTTGGCTGAGGATGATCCAATTGTTGATGGGCTGACTGATGTTTATGGGCCAGTAGCTGCTCTCAAATTGGTGGACAATGTACCTAGAAGAAGAGTGGATCGTAAGGCTCAAAGGAGGAAAGCTTATGACAACTGGAAGTTGGTTAGCACCTTGGACACGTGGAAGGCTGCCCACGGAGAGGAAAAGTGGGAGAAGGAATGAGAGGATGTGAGGGATATAAGTTAGTTAGTGAGGAGTGGGATGGGTATTGAGTATTCTGGTAAAAAGGGGTAGTAGGAGCAGTGGCATTGAGCATGAGTCTCAATGGCTGCCTAAGGAATAAAGGGTAATTCTCTTCAATCGGCCATCTGAGAGAGGAGGATATTTTCTGCTTTTAAGGTGTAATAATCCTTGTATTGTTGTGGGTTCATTTACTGTTTAAGTATATTGTTCCAGTAGTTAAATACCATTCCCAGAGATTGATTCCGTTCTTAGTTAATATTACTTCTGTCATTTAATTGTAAGTGTTCTACTGTTGTATTCTTTTGGTGCCAACACTTTACGATTAAGAAATGAGAATGAATTTTTCCTCTCTGAGTTTCATGAATGAGTTTCACAAAAGTTGTTGTCACTAGATGTTTTGAAAATGACAATTCATTAGACAACTGACAAGCATCACTGCAATTATCAATAAGCATCTTTGAACATATTTTCTTGATATTACGATACTTTCTGTATTATTTTGAGAAGAATGAGTTTCGTAAAGTTTACATCAAAAAAATGTATGCTTATCTATGTCTTCCAGAATGGAATAATAAGTAGTTTGGCTATAAGTATTAATTATTTTTCTATGAACTATTGTTGGTGTTTCAGATCATTGTTTATAATCAGACCTTTTTCATGTATATTTTTAGTTTTGCAGAAGCTAATGCAGTACTTCTCCATTATTGTCCTTGTCTTTCATTCTATTAGTGCCTAGAGGTACATGGAGAAATTTTCATCACGTGACACTCTGCTTGATGGACCTTCTTTTTAGGAAGCTGATTTCAATGTGGAAGTAGCTCAGCAAGGGATTGTCTATGTTGATGAAGTTGATAAGATTACTAAGAAGGTTTCACGTTTTGATATACTATTGATTCTGTATTTTTTGTTATAGTATGAATTGTTGATTTTGGCTGAATACTTTTCCAGGCTGAGAGTTTAAACATTGGAAGAGATGTATCTGGGGAGGGAGTTCAGCAGGCCTTACTGAAAATGCTGGAAAGCACTGTGGGTCAATTTTATTATTAACATTTTTTTCAGTGATAACTTTATTTTTCCCCATGTCAAACTTATATGAAGTTATGGTAGCAGTTTTGCAAATGTGCCATGCTAGGAAAAGTCTGTCTCATACCCTAAATAAAATATAAAACTTCTTAATTTTTCGCATTGACATAACAGATAAATTATTTGAAGTAACATTGTATTAGATCTAGGGAGCTGTAGAAAATGTTTAGCAATTGGATGAAGCCACTGTGCATCTTTTTTACTGTAGAACTCATGATATAAGCATAGTTAAACTTGACAGAAGTGTGTAGAATTGCATTCATACTGTTTAAAGTATGTTTTCCAAGTTCTATTTCTACATATTGTTTCTCTTTTCTGATATATCTTCTCCTTTCTCAGGTAGTGAGTGTACCTGATAAAGGAGCTCGCAAGCATCATTCTGGTGATAGCATTCTGGTATGTTGGAAAATAATTTCGATTAATCCTTACTTTCTATTATTGACTGCCATAAGGGAAAGTACCATAATTTCTATGGTTAAAAATTTAAAATCGAATTTATTCTTCTTACGGGCAGATAATAAAGTTTTTTTTTTAAAGGATGATAGATGTTTTTACTTTTATGAATATTATTACTATCTGCATATCTTTTGGATTCTTATGATTTAGTTTGTGATAAAGTTGAAAAGTTTGAAGATACCTTCCTATGGGTGAAATGAAAGGTGAAAATTTGATCTTGTTTTCTGGAGGAGTATGACATACATTAAATGCTTCAAGTCTACCAAGCCTTTTTCAATTCGTTCCCTACTTTGAATCTCCTGCATCCATAATTTTCCAACAATTTGTATAGATTAAGTATAACTCAGAATGTGAATAACTAATGAACTAATACCCTTCTTCAGCCTGGGAGTTTGACATCTTTGATTGTATGTCTTCCTTTGGTTACGCATCTGATAACCTTGCATACTGCTTGACAGATTGATACAAAAAACATTCTTTTTATATGTGGAGGGGCCTTTGTTAATTTGGAGAAGATCATCTCTGAAAGGTTAGGCCATCTTCTAGCACTCTATGTGGCATGCTTCCCCTGTATTTGGGAATTTCAATTGAAGTCCTTTCCTTTTCCAGGCAGCAAGATTCGTCCATTGGATTTGGAGTACCAGTTCGTGCAAATATGAGGGCTTGTGGGTTCCCTGATGCTGCAGTAACTTCATCACTTCTAGAGAATGTGAGAACTAAAGGCTCAAGATGAATTTTGCATTTCCATGCTTTGGCTGTTTTCTAGGAGAAGGGGGTCATTATGTATCATTTGTTGGATTGGATTTGTAGTTTCATTTTGCTTTGATTTGTTTAACTTAAGGTTTTAGTTATTTTCATTCCTTTTCTTTTACCGTTGGATTTCTTCAGTAAATCCTGCTCTCTACCCCCCCTAATTTTTTTGGCTGAGTTCTAGAATAAATTCTTCAAGTAGCTAATGCAGTGGTTTTGAGGATTTGCAGGTAGAAAGTGGTGATCTAATTGCCTATGGCCTTATACCTGAATTTGTGGGGCGTTTTCCAATTTTAGCTGGGTTGTCTGCTTTGAATGAGGACCAACTTTTTCAAGTATGTCATATGTTTGTGTCAAATGTTTATCCAAGTTCTGCCTTGTATTCTGTGATAGCACTCACACGAGATTATGGTTTAAATATGATGCGAATGTGGTTCCACAACATCCAGAAGTTGCTAAAAATGAGATAGAAAATTCATAGTTGATTTTTATCCTTCTGTTACCTTTTTGAATTCCATTGTTTCTTACTATACCATTTATGAGACACAGGTCCTTGTTGAACCTAAAAATGCCCTTGTTAAACAGTACAGGAAGATGTTCAGAATGAATAACGTAAGCTTTTAATCTTTAACCTTTTCTCTTATTGAGCTCGGATTCTTTTTCTTCCTCTTACCTTACTGAGGTGTTTGGCATTTAATACTCGCATAGTATCCTCTTTGCAGTGACTTATTTCATTCTTGCTGAATGTTTCAGGTCAATTTACATTTCACTGATAATGCTTTGAAACTGATTGCCAAAAAAGCCATGGCAAAGAACACTGGTGCCCGTGGTTTAAGAGCCTTACTAGAAAATGTTCTTACTGAGGCGATGTTTGAGGTACATCTTGTATATGGAAATATAGGATTAATATTCTATTGTTTTCTTCATCCATATTTCCCAACCCTCCAAAACTGTTGAAAAGAAAAGCAATTTTTTTTATACATATAAAAATATTGTTATGGATATGAACGTGGATTTTTTTGGCTTTGGGTTTCTTTCTTTATCCACAGATTCCAGACAAGGCCAATATTGATAACATAAAAGGAGTCTTGGTTGATGAAGAGGCCGTTGGATCCGTGAATGGCCCTGGTTGTGGAGCAAAAATCCTGTACAGAGACGATGGCGCATTGAAGGGTCAAACAAGAGCCATATGTTTGTAAATAGTGTATAGCTTATTGTAAAGTCCTCCGTTTCTTCTTTATCATCCCTATTTCTTTCTTCAATCATTTTCTCCCCTTATCCTTTTTGTATATCCCTTATCTTTTTGTATATCCCTATTTCTTTCTTTTTGCATTTGAAATAAACTGTGAAGTATGTATACCATAATGTTAACTTAAATGTTGTTAGACTTAAGAGGCACCATAAGGAGCAGCGAGTAGACAAAGCATGATGGATCAGCAGTTTAGGCCTTAAGAGAGCTAGCCTTTCATAGTCTGGATTTGGCCTAACAGGTTGACCTTAGAAATAATAATAAAATTGTTGAATACCTATGTCGCTTATTAGCCTTTTTCCGAAGTTCATAACGAGTATGATCAGAGGGGAAACTAGGTAGTTCTCATGTTGAGAGATAAATTGATTTTTTACACACTTAAAATTATGTGAGATTTATAATTTCTCTTCTTTTTTTTTTTCATATATGAATCTTATATATTTTTATATGTGTGTATAAGATAAATTTATCTCTTACAATATGAAAAAAATATTAAATCCATATAAAATAATAAAATCATATCAAATGTAGTTTATGTAAGTGGTGTAACTGTTAATGCCACTTGCCATTTATACATAAGCTTTTCCCTCCAAAATCACTCTTGAATCTCTACTTACATTTTTTTTAATATCTCTTATCTATTTGAATAATCATATATAAACTATCGTGTTTTTTAAAATCTAAATTAATTTAAATATTTATTAAATGTTTGTCTCTCAAATTTTATATTATATATTAATCACTCATTTATTATATATATATATATATATATATATATATATATATTCATTATAACTGTGAATAATTTTTTTGAATAATAACATAAAACTTCAATAATAATTTATTTTACTTCGTATAAGAGATAAAATATTTCTTTAGAAATTACCAAAAAAACATTTCTTTAGAAATCTTATTATTTAATTGTTATTATTTTTTACTTATTTAACTTTTTATATACATTTAATTATTAGTTTAATTTTTAAAATTTAAAATTAACAAATTAAAAATAAAGAATGCGGTTCTATATTTTTAGCGGAAGTATTCGAGCAGACCCTCCTATTTCACAGGCTTTTTAACACAGTATAATGATCATCAGCCCAAGTCCACCGATCATCAGCCAAAGCCCAACGACTTAAAGTCCAGTCCAAGGCCCATATCACACTCAGTAGCATTGGTTTGTTCACATGGACTCTCATCAATATATGCACGTGCAACTAATCATGAGAGAATACAGAATGGGAATTCTGTTATTATGCAGTTAGTCGATTAGTTATGATTGATAAGTTGTTAGGATTTAGTTAGATTTGATTATTCATTGGAGTGTGTATTTCAGCTCATATATATACTGTTAAATATCTGAGAACAGTTAGTTTTTTCATTTTTAATCAATTCATCTCAATATTCAGATATGGGAGCTTCTCTTTTCTGTTATGGTATCAGAGCTCACAATGAGCTCTGATACTCTGCCTTCGAGATTTTCTTGGTTAGTTATCATCAATGGCGAATCCTCATCTTGCAATGGATTTCCACACAAATCCTTCTCATCCATTGTTCATGCATCCCAATGAAAGTCCTTCTTTGATTCTGGTTTCCCCACCTTTGACCGGAAGTAATTACCATACCTGGGCGAGAGGAATGACCGTAGCTCTACTCTCGAAGAACAAGATTGCTCTAATTGATGGATCAATCGAACCTCCATCCACTGATCATCCTACTTACAACCAGTGGCAACGTTGCAACACCATGGTAATGGCTTGGATCCATAGATCCATCTCCGATTCAATTGCCAGATCCATATTATGGATTGAATGTGCCAGAGATGCTTGGCTTGACTTGAAAGATCGATTTTCTCAGTCGGATATATTCCGCGTGTCAGATCTACAGGAAGAAATCTATAAGATCTATCAAGGAAATCGCACTGTAAGTGAATTTTTCACTCAGCTCAAAACGATGTGGGATGAGCTTGAGAATCTAAAGCCTCTCCCTATGTGTGAATGTGATCCTTCTTGTGACTGTGGAGCAATGCTGAAGATACGAGATTATCGTGATAGAGATCACGTTATTCGTTTTCTTAAAGGACTTAATGACCAATACTCATCTGTTCGGTCACAGATCATGATGATTGATCCACTACCGAATGTCAATAGAGTTTTTTCTATGGTTGTGCAACAGGAAAGACAGTTCAACTCAGAATCACATAATGAAGTTTCAAATAACGATCAGAATTTTGTTGCTTTCAATAATAATGCAACTGCTAATGGAGGCCGTAGAAATTTCACTCAAAATTCAGGCAGGTAAGGTAGAGGACGTGGAAGGAACAATGGAGGAAGAGGAAATTATGGCAATAGAGTTTGCACTCACTGTGGCAGATCGAACCACACAGTGGAGACCTGCTATCAGTTGCACGGCTATCCTCCAGGCTACCGTTCCAGAATTTCAGACAATCATACTGCTAACAATGCATCTAATGCAAATTTCAATGAGAATGCTTCAACAGATCCTACTTCACAGAATGATATTGCTTCTGTCCATCCACAACTTTCACATGAACAATATCAACACATCATTTCTCTACTTCAAAGTCCAGTTCCTAGTACTGTTACAACCCAACCTACACACTCAGCCAATGTCACACACGTTTCTCACACTGACACAAGTCTTCCAGGTATAACACGCACTCAGTGGATCATTGACACTGGTGCCACGGATCATATCAGTTTCATGAGTTCTTCTTTTTCTTCTCTTCAAAAAATTAATCCAATAACTATAAACTTGCCTAATGGTTTACAAGTTATGTCTCATTTCTCAGGTTCTGTTATTTTGTCAACCAATCTCATTTTGCAAAATGTCCTTTTCGTACCGAGTTTTCATGTAAACTTAATTTCAGTAACCAAATTGGTAAATTCTCTTAACTGCTACCTAACCTTTTTTGACCGCTTCTGTTATATTAAACAGATTTCAACCAAGGTGACGATTGGTTCTGCTGAGCAATTGAACGGCTTGTATGTGATAGTCCATGACAAGACCTCAGCCCAAGGAAATACAGTTCAAGGAATAAGTGACCACAAGTGTAATAGTCACACTCATGTAACAGATGCCACACTGTTATGGCACAGACGTTTAGGCCATGTGTCTGATGCAATTATGAATAAAATGTCTTCTCAGTACTCTTTTATTAGTCCATTACATCAACTACATCCTTGTGACACTTGCCATTTAGCTAAACAAAAACACCTTCCTTTTCCCATCAGCCAGAGCAAAAGCACGAAACCTTTTGATCTAATCCATGCAGACATTTGGGGTCCTTTTGGTTTGCAAACCATACATGGTCACAGATTCTTTTTGACTATTGTTGACGATTTTTCACGCTTCACTTGGATAATCCTGATGAAAACTAAGGCAGATACTCGAGCAAACATTCACCATTTCTTTGCTTATGTAGAGAATCAATTTAACACAACTATTAAAGTGTTTCGCAGTGATAATGGAACTGAGTTTCTTATGAAAGATTTCTTCTTGCAAAAAGGTGTAATACATCAGACTAGTTGTGTGGAGACGCCCCAACAAAATGCTAAGGTTGAAAGAAAACATAGTCACTTGCTCAATGTGGCACGAGCATTGTGCTTTCAAGCCTCTTTACCATTGAATCTGTGGTGTTATGCTGTGACACACTCTGTCCATCTCATTAACCGCATTTGTTCACCCATCACACAAAACAAATCTCCTTTTGAATTGCTTCATGGACAACCACCCAACCTCACCCACCTTCGTGTGTTTGGTAGCTTATGCTATGTCTCCACCCTTAAAAGCAATCGTACTAAATTCTCCCCAAGGGCTAGAAAGTCTGTTTTCATTGGTTACAGAGATGGCATCAAAGGTTTCTTGCTTTATGATCTCCATTCTCATGCCATTTTTACCTCTCGTCATGTCATATTCTATGAACATGAATTCCCTTTTTCCACTTCACACAATCCCGATACCCCCAACTCCTATATCTTACCTTCTGACCTCAATACTTTCCCCAACTTTGACTTTCCCATTTTGACCAATCCTCCTTTATCTGTTATATCCTCAGATGAAGCACCTATTTCAGGTCCAGCTCAACCTGTTGTACCTTTTGTTGAGCCTGCTGCATCTTCTTCTGAACAGCATCTTCGACGATCCTCTCGTACACGTATCATACCCACCTACCTAATGGACTATCACCACAGTCTTTCAGTTACTCAGCATGATCCATCGGTACCAGGTTTGCCTAACCCCAGTTCTACTTGTCATCCTTTATCTTCTGTTATTTCTTATGACACATGTTCACCAATTTACAAAAACTTTTGTCTTAGTTCCTGCACACACTTTGAACCTACTTGTTATTCACAAGCTGTTAAGCATGATCATTGGGTTAAAGCTATGCAGGTCGAATTTTCTGCTCTTTCTAGGAATGACACTTGGTCGTTGGTTGATTTACCTGTTGGCAAACATCCCATTGGATGCAAATGGGTTTACAAGATTAAGTATCTTGCTGATGGTTCGGTGGAACGTTACAAAGCGCGTTTGGTTGCCAAAGGATTCACCCAAATGGAAGGGGTAGATTACTTTGACACTTTCTCACCGGTGGCCAAGCTCACTTCTGTCCGCACCCTGTTAGCCGTTGCTGCAATTAAAGGATGGCATCTTGAACAATTGGATGTCAACAATGCATTTTTGCATGGTGATCTCCATGAGGAAGTTTACATGTGTCTCCCTCAAGGCCTTGTTGTTCCTGCTGGTTCTTCTAATCTTGTTTGCAAACTCAGAAAGTCTCTCTACGGTTTGAAACAAGCTAGCAGGCAATGGTATGCCAAGCTTTCCTCATCCCTTCTCTCCCTTGGTTACAAGCAAGGTACTGCTGATCACTCAATGTTTACATTCACTTCTACTGACTCTTTCACGGTTTTACTGGTTTACGTTGATGATATCATCCTTTCTGGGAATTCACTTACTGAAATCAACCGTGTAAAGTCTCATCTCGATAATCAATTCAAGATCAAGGATCTTGGCAGCTTGCGATACTTTTTAGGACTTGAGGTTGCTCGCTCTAAAGCTGGCATAATTCTTAACCAACGCAAATATGTTCTTGAACTGATTTCTGATGCTGGCTTATTGGGTTCTAAGTCATCCAAGTCTCCTATGGATCCCTCTATCAGACTTAGTCGTTCTCAGGGTACTCCCTTACCTGATGCAGCTCCTTATCGTCGTCTTGTTGGTC